GCGGCCCCGCCCCTGGGTGCCCGGTGCGTGAAAGGCCCCACCCCCGGGCACCCAGCAGCCTCAAAAGTTTGGGGACCACTGAGTTAAGGGATGGGGGAACTGACCTCTATGCAAGATGCTGCTGCTGCTCTGGCATGCAAGGCAATCCCTGCCCCCGGCTTAGGGGTGTTATCTTGCAATTCGTCAGCCAGGTGAGCAGGCCTGCGTGCTGCCCCGCTCTGGTACATCCCCAAGGGAGAGGAGCAGCGAGACTGTTTCAATCCCCACTCGCCCCGTTTCCCTGCTGCCTCTGCAGAGACGGTGCCTCTGATAGAGGCAGCAAGGGGGGGAAGCAACTAGTCCATGCTGGGCTAATGTATGAGGAGAGGGGATGCTAACGGAGGGACTGACGGGCCACGTGGCGCGGGGAGAAAGAGGTTCTTTAGGCTGCACACACTGCGTCACCGCAGAGCCTCTCTGCACTGCCCTGCTGGCACCCTGCCGACTGAGAAGATGGCACTTCGTCCTGTGGGCCTCAGGGCCACGAAGATACAGACCCATGGGAGCGAGTGCAGAGAAGAGTAACAACAAGGCCAGCAATGGCTGCCAAGGGCCAGCCACACAGGGACCGTGCTGGGGCAGAGGCGTCAGTCTGAGAAGGGGCGGATGAGGGACATGGCATGCAGTGAAAGAAGATCTGTTAGGCAGAGATACAGGATCCAGGCTAAGTGATGGGAGCATCATAATGCAACCCCAGCTGTGTGGAAGACGCGCTTTTCATCAGTAAACAATCGGTAAGTGTCAGACTCTTCCCACATCGCTGAACAGCCTGCCTCTCCAGACCGGATGTCTACAGGTGGGCACAGACAGACAACTGTTGCCGAGACGTTAGTGGAGTTTGATTTCAGGCCACTTCCCTTACAGATATCCGACTGATGACGTTGACATTTGTGTTTTAATGGTCATAAAACGACACCTCTTTGGATCTCAGCATCTTGTCATGAAGTTATTGTCTAATCTCCCTCCATTGCTGTCCCTCCCCATCCCTAACATCCACAAGCCATTGACAAAGTGCGTAACCCAAACCCTGCCAAGCTCATTCCCACCGATACAGCCTGGCGCCGGCTGGGGGCTGACACCCAGGCTGCCTCACTGCTAAGACACACCGGGTAGGGCTCTAGGGACCTGTTGCAAGGACTCTCCAGGCTCATTTACTGCTTTACAATTAATACAACAGAGCCCATCCTCAACCCTGCTCCTCTCAACCCACCACTGGAGGGACTGTCTGTCTGCACGAACACCTGCAGCCGCACAGGGCAGCACCATGCCATGCTTCAGCAGCTCCCCTCCGCTCCCACGGTGACTGATCTGCCGTCCACAAGCAGGCTAGTTGCTTTGGCCTGGCAAGACAGCCAAGGGAACAGGCCAGCTCTCTGGTGAATCAGCTGTAGCAGAAATCTTATTTGTGTGTGTTAATTTGAACAGGGTCCCCTGTATGGCGCCTGCGTTCGGGAGCGGAGCGAGTGCCAGATCGGAACTCCAGCCAGAAGAGCAAGAGAAATTCAGGGATGGGTTTAAGCAAAGCCTTGGCTCCTCTACACGGAAAACGCCAGCCAGAGTCAGCACATTCAAATGGAAATGCACCCTTGGCACTTGCGCTTCTGCTGAGCCCTGGAGGTTACGTGGAAAGGCCAGTCCAGGAGGAGAAGGGGGCAGCCAGGCTAAGGAGCAGCAAAATAGCCAAGAGACCCTCTCTCCCGCAGGGTAAGCTTCTCTGCGCTAACAGTAGAGGCCCATTGTAACACCGGAGGCAACTGCATGTTCTGGGCCTCAGCTGTCACTTACCAACATATTCGGAGAGGAACACGACAAAGAACGGCGTGACCAGGTCATTAATTCCCTGGACGTAGCCACTGGCTGGGTGTCGGATGGCCCAGATAAACAGAATTCTCTCAAAGATCTATGGAAAGCAAGGAGGAAAGCCGGACATCTGTGTTAGCCAGGCTCAGTGGAAAGGCCAAGAAGCACGTGAGAGGCACACTTACCAACATATTCGGAGAGGAACACGACAAAGAACGGCGTGACCAGGTCATTAATTCCCTGGACGTAGCCACTGGCTGGGTGTCGGATGGCCCAGATAAACAGAATTCTCTCAAAGATCTATGGAAAGCAAGGAGGAAAGCCGGACATCTGTGTTAGCCAGGCTCAGTGGAAAGGCCAAGAAGCACGTGAGAGGCATACAGCCATTTCCAGCAGCCACACCCACAGGCTCAAAAATAAGCAAGCTAAAGAAGCAGGCACCAAAATCCCAGCTCCTCCTCTGTCCGCCCGCCCACACCTCCCCAAACATCAGCAGCGGTGCCTAAGATCCAGACGCTGCCCTAGCCGTGGCTTCAGGCCCTTCCGAAGGCCAGGAAGAGTTCAGGGGCTGTCTGGGCTGAGAATTGACAGAGCTGGTCACTCAAGACATCCACTTGCACACAAGCCAGAGCCCTTTCACTGCTGCGCTACTGTCAGCCGGTCCCTGTGCACTGGGCGGTTTGGCAGAGCGCTCACAGCTAGGACTGTGCATCTACTGGTGGTGCACATCCGCACAGGCCTCGGTGCACTTAACATTTACTCTGCACACGGATGGGAAAAGCCCAGCAGCTGGAAGAGGCTAGCGGGAACACTGCTCCCAACTACGGAACACCCAAGTCAGGAGCCAGGCTGCTGCGCCTGTTTTCTGCAGTAACATCTCAGGGGCCCAGCCGCAGACCTGGAAATGGTTCGACAAGCAGGATGCTCAAGGGCTTTCCTGAGCCCCTGGGGATTAGCGAGGACTGTGACTGCTTCCCACATCTCCCTGTGCCTAGCCCTTGTGATCGCAGACTCCAGATTCTCCTGCTATATAAACTAGTCCTCGGGACTCCGGCAGACTGACCTCGCCTGCACTTTGGGCAATCCCACCAAGCTGCACGTGCCTCCCAGCAGCACCACTAAACCTGCCCCTCGGACAACACAGGCCAGGACTCTCGGCCTCGCTCCCACAAGGGTGGCAAGGCAGCAGGGCAGCTTACTCCGGCTAGCGGGTTTCCAACAACGTCAGCTTTTGGACCAACGCTCAGTTACTTTATCAGCTAAACCTGGGCCTTTCATACATGGCATCCCGGCCAGCCCCTAGCTCAGATCATCAGCCTTTACCAGAGGGCCCCAGAAGCTTTGCAGTAAGAGGACAAGCCAGGCCTTGTCCGTGCAGGCACGTTTCCCGCAGCGCAGCGCCTGGCGAGCTGCACCACTGTAGCTCTCCGCCTTCGCGCACGTATTCTGGAGGCCCAGGGCATGTCCCGGAGCATGGCGATTTGTTCCGTCAGAAGAGGAGCTCACATCAACGCTCTAGCCACAAGGCGGAAGGGACTGGAGGTGCCATTCAGTAGCTGCGAACACTTAACTCAGAGGCCTGGAAGATGTTGTGGTCAAATGGCTAAAGCACTAAACTGGCACACAAGAGACCCAGGTTCTAATCCCAGCTCTGCTGTGACCTTGGACATGTCACTGCCCCCTCAGTTTCTCCTTCCATCCTACGTCTTGCCTATTTGGATTGTCAGCTCCCTGGGACAGGCAGTGTGCATGTACAGCACCCAGCACAACTGAGCCGGGCTCTCGGTTGGGATGCCTACACCACCCACCCACAAGTTCTACCCGGGGGAAACACCCAGCTTCTGCGAGACCCCTTCCCAGGAGGTGCTGGGGTGGCAACAGCTCCATTTTACATCCAAACCGATCTGGGGGAGGCTGAGCCGAAGCCACGTAGCTGAAAGGAGGGAAGCCTGTTCTGTCCCCAAATCCAGAGGACTAGATCAAATCCACTGGGCTCGACTGGCCCTCAGCCCCTCGGCAAAACCCGATGGCCGGGTAGAATGGGAGAGGTGGCAGCAGGGCCTGGCCTGCCCCGCCCCATGCAGGGAAGCTAGAGAGACTCGTCCTGCCTCACCTCCT